GGGTGGCAGCCCTTGCCAAGCAGAAGCTTTATGAGTCTCCTCAAAGTCTTTCATTTTTTCTTTTCCCTCTGCTGTGAGATGCACTGTCCCAAGAGCTGGGTTAATCTTCAGCCTGCATCCCAGTATGGGGAAGATGGGCAGCAGGGCTAAGCTAACCTGAGATAGCAGGTAATATGAGCAAGAAATAACCCTTTGTTGTTTAAGCCACTGAAACTTTACATCATTACCAGGACATAACTTGGCTTAAGTTGACTAATACTAAAACACACCTTGCATTAAAAAAAAAAAAAAAAAAAAAGAGGAAGGGGGCGCCTGGGTGGCTCAGTCTGTTGAGCATCCAGCTCTCGATTTTGGCTCAGGTCATGATCTCAGGGTCCCGATCCAGCCCCGTGTCCAGCTCCATGTTTAGCAGGAGGTCTGCTTGAAGATTGTCTCCCTCTCCCTCCTGCCCCACCCCCTGCACTCTCTCTCTCAAATAAATAAATAAATCTTAAAAAAAAAAAAAAAGGAAAGATTGTTTTTTAAAAAACACGAGCTAATGGTAAACCCACCTTGCAGCATATCCTGGCCCTCTCCCACAACTGGCAAAGGCAGCATATATCCACACACTAACAAGAGAATTCAAGTACAAAGATAAGCGCATAGCTAAAAATCAATACACTTGGTAAAAGCCAAAATTTTTAAAGGGAGACCCCCCCAACTCTATAGCCAGATGAATTTCTTGGGGGCGCCTGGGTGGCTCAGTTGTTAAGCATCTGCCTTCGGCTCAGGTCATGATCCCAGGGTCCTGGGATCGAGCCCCACATCGGGCTCCCTGCTCCACGGGAAGCCTGCTTCTCCCTCTCCCACTCCCCCTGCTTGTGCTCCCTCTCTCGCTGTGTCTCTCTGTCAAATAAATAAATAAAATCTTTAAAAAAAAAAAGGATGAATTTCTTGGATCATTTTTTAATTTTGGTAAGTCAGTCGCTATAGAAATGAAAGCCAAAAGGTCTTGAGGGTCAAAGGTTGATGACTGATATTTGCTGTTAACAGCATAGATTTAATACCACTGTATTTTTACCAGGATTGTTGTTTTAAAAGGATCCAGTTACAAAGTTCCACTGGTTTTCTGTGGTCTGCCTCTAATCCTAATTTTCTTGTAAGTCCTCTTATTTTTAGCATGTGATTTTGTAGAATGCAGCAGGTTTTGGAAATGCACATCTAGTGTTATATCTGAAATGCCTGTATTTTAATAGGTAACAATGCCCATATACCAATTTAAAACAAACAAAAACCCTGTGACTTTTTCTCCATCCCTGTCTTTTCCCCATTCAGTCATCCTGTAACTATGCATGGGGTCAGGAGGACATGTGCTCAAGTGGAAAGAGCATGGTCTTCAGAATCAGACAGAACTGAGTCTGATCCTTATTCTGAAACCTACCAGCTATGTTAACTCTAATGATGCTATCTCCCTGAGCCTCAGCTTCCTTGTCTGTAATGGAGAGGGTAGAAAGGCCTTTCTGGAAATCAGCCAGAAGACAGCCAATCTCCGTGAGCAAACTCAAGAGCCAATAGCAAGTGCCCCCGAGGAGGTCCTTCCCACAGGACAGCACTTTCCAGTAGGGACTGGACCTTGCCCCTGCAGACGCTCAGGGCCCTGAACCAGAACCTGCAGGGATGGGGCAAGGCTGGTGAATGCTTCACAATCCCCCTCCAGATGACACGATGCCTGGTGATACACACTGCTGTAGAGAGGCTGTTCCCTTGTCCTGATTCCATGTTCAATAAGCAACTGAGGGCATGGAGCTCACAGGGTGAGAATGCCTGGGGTAGGTAGACAGTCTGGTCTGCTTAATAGCTGCAAATCACAAAGTGACATTCTGTGTTTATTCAGCTTGATCAAACTCACTGTGCCTCAGCTTCCTTGATTGTAAAATGGGAATAATAATAGCACCTAACTCTCAGCATCGCTGTGAGGATTATGAGAGCTATATGGAAAGTGTTCGGAACAGTGGCTGGTCCAGAACAAGTGCTTTCTGAGTGTTCACTATTAGTATTGTACATCAGGCTCTGTGAGGTTGGTTAATGTCACTCTGCCTTTGGAAGCCAGTGCTGTGGGAGCATGCACAAAAGCAACTTAAGACCACGCCCCTGAAGAGTGGCTGATTTACCAAGTTCATACAACTCTGAAGGGACCTCTCCGGGCAGCCAGAGTCCTTCCTTAGGTGATAATATGCACGCCTCATCTTGCCATGTGCCTTAATATTTGAAACTGTCAGTAAGGATTGTATGAAAAACTGTTTCAAACGCCTAACAAGTGTCTAGCACACAGTCTGTCCTCAAACAATGGTGCCTTTGTCTCTCTTCTCAAGTGCCGTAAGTCTTTGAACTGTCAGCTGCAAACCATGCATTGGGAAGGGAATGCCCGGCAGCCTATGAACACTGGGATAGCTAACTTTGACTCTAAGAGAACCTGCAACCGTCTCGTTCCCACTGTTTCTGGACCGAAATAAGTTCAGCAGGAGACTTTAGCCTTAGCAGCTGATAACGTGATTTGAGACTCACGTAAGAGAACCCCAGTTAGACTTTAGCTCCTTCCGAGTAACGGTGTCTTGGTGACCATTATATACCCTGCAGCCAGCACGATACTTGGCACATAGTAGGTGTTCACAAGCGATTTGTCATTAAATTAAGGCAGTAGGCCCTGACTTAAGGTTATTGAATTAACGCAATGGGTCCCGATTTCCCTCATTTTTTTACACGAGCCTGGAGCTAAGACGGGTGAGCCTTAGAGCCTTTCCAGGACAGAGAGACGAGCCAGCCCCAACCGGGGGAGGTGGCCGCCTCCCCTGCCACAGCTTTGTCGAGAACGTGCTTGTAGAGCCTTGCACGGCGAGGACTGGAAGGCATCTCAAGGTATGTAGAGGCCCAGGAGATGCCCTTGGGCAAGAAACGTTGGCGCCAAACATTATTTATTCAGCAGACATGTATCCAGTGCCAACACGGGCCAGGCCATGAACGAGATTCAGTTCCTGCCCTCACAAATCTTAGAGGCCGAGGCAGGAAACAGCCCGTGGTGGGGGGACGGTACTGTGCGATGGGTGGGGGGACAGGAGGGGGCATGGGGTGCCATGGGAAGGGACATGGCGAGAGAACTTTGAGTGGGTGGCAGGAGTGACAATGTCACAGGTGAGAACCAACTGTGCACCACGCAGGTTTGGGGAGGGAGAGCCACCTGTTCTGTTGACAGCTGGAACAGGACGATTGCCTCCTCGTCTCGCAGGAGGGCCCCATTTGGGGTATAACCGGTACGAGCATCTCCACCCTCTTCCCTGAAGCCCCTGGACCGGCTGCCAGGCCCACTGTGGTCTGTCCGGCACCTCGCCTGGAATATGCCTCTGCTACCAGGGCGGGTTCTGTCCTGTCCCCAGCAACCACTAGAGACACGGCTTGACCCTCCTGCGGCCACAGGCAACACGACCCACAGATCTGACCTTCCGCTCCCCTGTCACCCTGCCTCGCCCCTCCTAGGACACAGAGAGGCGTGCGGTAAGTAGACACAAACCCACAAGACGCGAGCTTTCCCTCGGTGTGAACAAACCCACGTTAAAAAAGAAGTAAGAATTTCCACTAACATATTTATCATTACTGATCACGTTTTGAATGAAGTGAAGAGTGTAACAAAATATATGTGTGTGTGTGTGTGTGTGTGTGTGTGTGTTTAATCACAAATGGATGATAGATTTCTAGAACTGGTTTGCTGACCATCCAGAAAAGACAATGATGTAACTGCACTTCGGTGAGACTAGCCACCAGGCCACGAGCCCGAAGCTGGGACAGTGTTTGTGATCTGACAGGGGGCTACACGCCAGGCCAGTGGGGGAGCAGGGCCAGGGTTAGGTGTCAGGAAGCAGGGGAGGTCATGCCAGGTATTCTCGAGAAGGGTCATCATGAAGTGAGCATGTGGGACCAGCTGAAACAAGCTCCTGCTTGTGCACACGTGTGTGTTCACTTACATCAGCACACACTTCCTTCACTAAACTAGCCAAGGGGTTTGGGGGAGAGGAGTCGTGAGTCTACAAACATCTCAGAGAGACCAGGGAGGGGGAGACTCAACCTATCAAGATAGGTAGCCAGATTCAGCTGGAGGGGGCACCTGCGAGGAGGGCTCCCAGGATGTGGCGGGGTGGGGGGAGTGAAGGCCGGGCTCTGGCCCAAGGAGCTCAGACATTAGCCTAGGGATAGGCTAATGCTCAGACAACTGCCGTGTGGTCCATGACGAGTGTGAGACAAGGTGACAAGATTGTTCCCATGTGTCGGGGAGATCAGGGTCCAGTTACAGGGATCACTGGGATTTTGAGGCGGGCCTCTTGGGACAGGTGGCGATGGAAACAGCATCCCAGCCAAGGAAAGAAAGTGAGGGGCCCCTGAGGAAGTGTGCAGGGTTGCTGAAGGCAGCCCTTGCGGAGAGTTTCTGGACTATACAGGAAAGTGGCAGGCGATGAGCTGGAAAGGGAGCTTGAGGCCAAAGTGGGTCCTGAAGCAGGAGTTTTCATTTAGGTTGGATAAATAACAGGGAGCCCTTCCAAGACTCATTTATTCAACAAATATGTACTGACTTCAACCCCTCCCCCAGAAGCTCCCCCAGGTGCTATGCGAGCAGGGAGCGCACATTTCGGATGGCTCACAACCAGGGGCACCCAGGCTCCGCCCTGGGCCTCAGGGAGCCCCACGCCAGCCACACAGGAAGGTGAGGCTGCGGCCGGCTCCAGGCTGGGGGCCGGGCTGTGAGCTAGGCATGGCAGTAGGAAGGGGCCACTTTGTGGGTGAGGGCACTTGGCAGGGTCAGTCACCAGTGAGGTCCCCTTAGCCAAGTCCTCCAGCAGATGACACAGGGAAGAAGCATCCCATCAATGACTGGAATGGAGGGCCAGAAAAATGGGGCAAGGAGAGGGGAGTCAGGCGGCAGAGGAATGAGCACCCATCTCCCCCCACCCACCTCAGCCTGCAGCATGCTCCGGTCACTGGTCAGCGTGGCGGGGGGACTGCCGCCCAGTGCTTTTCTGGTCTTCTTGCCCGTAGTCATCCTCCTCGTCCTGCTCTGTCTGAAGCTCTTTCACCTGCTTTGGAGCCTTCTGGTAGGCCGCCCGATTCCTGAGAGCAGTGAGGACAGAGGGGAAGGGTTTGCCCTCACTCAGGCTGGGGGAGCTGGGCCCAGTGCTCCTTATGGGAAGATCAGCCATCGGACCTGCCGCCCCTCCCCGCCCAGATGCGAAGGGACCCCGGGCTGGGGGGCTGGCTCCAAGTGGACAGGCGGGTGGCACAGACTTGCTCTGCTCATGAGCTCAGAGCATTATAGGAACGGGCCGGCTCCGCCAGACCAGGAGGAACCAGCCCCTGGAGGGGGCCCCACCCTGTGCTTGCCCCCAGACAGGCCACAGGAAGCCTGGGGAACTACGGGCCTTGCAGTCAGGCACCAGGATGGCAAGGCCACTTGGGGGCAGCTGTCCCCGGTGGTGGTGTGAGTGGCAAAGGCCATGAGGCGCCGTGACACGTCCTCGCCCTCTGCTCAGACCCTTGCCAACAGGCTGCCCACAAACACTCACGGCGCCGTGTCCTCAGCTCTGTCCTGCTGCCGGCGGCAGCAGCAACAGTAGATGACAATGCCAAGGATGATGATGGCCGCAATCAGGCCGACGGCAATGCCCGCGTACAAGGCCACGTTCATGGAGGCTGCAAGAGACAGAGCAGGGCAGCGGCACCTCCCGAGTCCTGACCTGAGCCCAGGCATCTGGGGCTGGTTAGCCAGGGTGAGGGAAGCCTCTGGGCAGGCCCAGCCTCCCTCCCAGCCCAGGGAGTACTGTCGGCTTCTAGTGACATGCCACAAAGGGCATGGCCTTGCAGAAAGGTGACCAGGTAGGTCTAGAGACCACTCTTCAGGATGGAGGCGGATGCGAAGATGCACAGGCCAGTAGATCTGCGCCCACTCCCTGGGCGACCCAGGCTCCTGCCAAGTCCTCAGCTGTCAGCCATGCCAACTCCTACTCTAGCCCGTCCTTGAGCTGCTGGAGGTGACCCACCCCCAAAAATAAGGTCCAGGCTCCATGGCAGCTGACTCTGGATACTTCCCTCAGGCCCACTGAGTGGCCCTAAGGGCAGGCAGGGCTGAGCAGGTCTCCAGAAGTCAGTCTGAGGCTCTACTTCCAAAGAACCAAGGGAACTGGACTGACCTCTAGGCCGGGAGCGTCTGGTTGAGGTCACCCCAGGTACCCTGCCAAAGAGGCTCCCGAATTCACCTTCACAACGTCTCTCTCAGCTGCATCTTTGGACCCCAAGCCAGTGATCTTTCAGCCTTGGTCCCCTCCCCTCCCCCCCTCGCCCCCCAACCCGCTCTTACGAGGTCTGACAGCCACAGTGATGTTACAGGACTCGGTCCCCACCTCATTGCTGGAGGTGCAGATGTAATAACCCGACATATCTGTGGAGATGTTCTTCAGAGACAAGGTCTGGCCTGTGACTGGGAAGGAAGAACAGTGAGGGTGAGGAGCCCAGGCACCACAGGTCAGTGGAAACACCTAGGAATCTGGAAGCCTGAATTCCTAGGCAGACACGAGCACTGCGGCTGAACTTGTCCAAGCCTCCTCTGAAACATGGAGAGAGACAGAGTATCCACCTCTAGGCCTCCCAAGACAAGCTGCAGGCAGGATGCCCAGTTCTTTTCTTTTTTTTTTTTTTTAAGATTTTATTTATTTATTTGAGAGAGAGAAAGAATGAGAGATAGAGAGCATGAGAGGGAAGAGGGTCAGAGGGAGAAGCAGACTCCCTGCTGAGCAGGGAGCCCGATGTGGGACTCGATCCCGAGACTCCAGGATCATGACCTGAGCCAAAGGCAGTCGCTTAACCAACTGAGCCACCCAGGCGCCCAGGATGCCCAGTTCTGAAGTACTCGGAATTCAGCCAGTCCCCCTGGTTCTGCCCCTGATTAATTCTGTGACCTTGGCCCAGGAACTTAGCTTCACTGAACCTTAGCTTCTCTATTTATAAATAACAAGAGTCCGTGGGAGGCACGCTAATAGCATAAAATGAGGTACTGATCAATGCAAACCCACATCAGAACACCTGATGTGTAGTAAGTGCTCGGGAAACATAAAATACATATGTATTTCATGAAAATGCTTTCTAATTAGAAGATACGGTTATAACGACTTTTATGACCTTCCGAAACTGAGTCCTTGAGCTTGGACTCACGGAAGAAGTCCTTGAGAAATCAAGAATGGTCCAATAGTCCTCATGAGAAACCTTCCTGCTAAATCTGTGATCCTATGAATCTCTTCACCTTGAAAGGGAGAGCTTTATGCTTAGACTTTATATGCCCTGTCCTCAAAGATGCTTTGTCATAACTGCTATCTTGAGTGGAGAGTTAGAGACCTTTTCCTCTAATCTGCGGCAGAGTTAGCCTCGTAAGATCCTGCTGCCACCAGGTGGTTGCATTTCATCCAGAGGAGATGTCTGACCTGGCAAGTGGGACCCAGTCACTGTACGGCTCCTAATCTCCAACAAGTCCAGGCTTTCTCTGACTGACTTATTTAGCTTAGTATTATACCTTCCAGCTCCATGTTGTTGCAAATGGCAAGATTTCATTCTTTTTTTAATGGCTGAAAAATATTACATTGCGTACACATAACACTCCTTCATCCATTCATCAATGGATAGACACTTGGGCGGCTTCCATAACTTGACTATTGTAAATAATGCTGCTATAAACATAGGGGTGCATGTATCCCTTTGAATTTGTGTTTTTGTATTCTTTGAGTAAATACCCAGTAGTAGGATTACTGGATCATAGTGTAGTTCTATTTTTCACTTTTTGAGGAAACTCCATACTGTTGTCCATATATGTGGAATTTAAGAAATAAAACAAATGAGCAAAGGGAAAAAAAGAGAGACAAATCAAGAAAAAGATGCCTAACTCTAGAGAACAAACTGATGGTTACCATGGGGGAGGGTTAAACAGGTGATGGGGATTAGGGAGTACGCTTGTGATGAGCACCAGGTGATGTGTGAAAGTGTTGAATCCCTATATGGTACACCTGAAATTAATACTACACTGTGTGTTAACTAACTGCAATTAAAATAAAAACGTAAAAAAAAATAACAAGTCCAAGCTTCTTAATGCCATCACAGTGTTACAGATCTGGTCCTGCAATCCCCTCAGCTTTATCTCTTGCCAGTTCCCCTGCTGTGCGGCGCCCCCCTTGTCCCACCTCCAATCTCTTGCCAGATTGTATCTGGTGCGGATTTCCCTTATCTGGATGTGCTACTCTGTATACTTCCTCAAATGTGATGTCTTGTGATTTTGTCAGCAATCTTGTATGGGAAGTGGGACAAATATTCAATCTCCAATGTCACAGAGGTAACTGGAGGCTTCGAGAAGTTAAGGTACTTGCCGAATGTCACAAGATTAAGAAATGATAAAGCGTAACAAAAATCCCGTTTTAGGTCTAGAACTCTCTGGAGCAGTTGACAATTTTCTTTAAAAAAAATATGTATTACACAAACAATGCAGGTTCATTATAAGAATTTGTACATGATATGAAGCTATTATTTAAATCAATCCAGTCCAGAAAACCTTTAGAGGCTTGATCACCATAACCCTAAAGAAGGTGAAGACAGTCTCTGTCCTGGCCTGAGGGTTGGCAGACAAGAAACCAGGGTGATCACAGGGTGATTAGAGTTAGAAATGGAAATGCTATTTGAGTTTATAGCAAGGGAGTTTAATCTCATTTGAAGGGTCAGGGAAAGCCGGTATAAAGAACAGAGAATAAAATAAAATCATCCATAATTTCACCAGCTAGAAATAACAGCTGATGGTTTGGGTTATTTTCTTCCAATCTTTTTCTATGTACTTTCTTCAGATTCTTCCCTTGAAACCCCCAGCTGTATCTTCTGGATGCTCATTCTCTACATGCTTCTACCCTAGAATTTCATGCCTCCGAATGTTTTCTGGAATATTGCTTACGCGTGACATTAACATACAGTACTAAAAAAGCAGTCCATGACCAAAGCAAATTTCGACATCATTGAGAGAGGGTTAAATACATTTTTTAACAACAGAACTCTTAGAGCTTCTAATTTGCTAATGAGCACTGGGTGTCCCTAAATGGAGGTTATAGTAATAATGGTCTTCTTTTCTTTTAAAATTTTTAAAAATTAAAGTGAGTTAACATACAGTGTATTATTAGTCTCAGGGGTAGAATTTAGTGATTCATCCGTTGCATAGAACACCCTCTGCTCATTACCTCCTGTGGCCTCCCAGTGCCCATCACCCAGTTACCCCATCCCCCCCACCTCTCCTCGGTTTGTTTCCTAGAGTTCAGCATCTCTTATGATTTGCCTTCCTCTCTGTTTTTCTCTTATTTTCCCTTCCCTTCGCCTATGTTCATCTGTTTTGCTTCTTAAATTCCACATATGAGTGAAATCATATGATAATTGTCTCTCTCTTGACTTATTTTGCTTAACATAATACCCTCCAGTTCCATCCACATCATTGCAAGTGGCAAGATTTCTTTTTTGTTGTTGTTGGCTGAGTAATATTCCCTTGTATATACATACACCACATCTTTATCCATTCATCTGTCAATGGACATCTGAGCTCTTTCCATAGTTTGGCTATTGCGGACCTTGTTGCTATAAGCATTGGGGTGCAGGTGCCTAATGGAATCACTATGTCTGTATCCTCAGATCATGGTGTCACATCTGGGATTCTGCCCCACTTTGCCACCTGAGCACCTTTAAACCAGGCACGTCCCCCACCGCAGTGGACTTCTAAAAGTTCTGATTTTGCACTCCGCAGCTTATAATGCTTTGTAGTAGCCTCCTTAAGCAGGCTCCCTCCCTGCTGCCGTATACTCAGCTATATCACACTGGATTCAGGTCTCTGCACCTCCTAACTTCCAAGCGGCGGTCACTTTTCTACTTGTAGACTTGCAGTATTTGTTTTCTCAGAAACTCCAATTGATTTCTTAGGTGTTCAGAATGATTTCATAACTATCTAGTTGTATTTGAGGGATGAGTCCCCCTACTCCTCTGACATCTTAACTCCTCCTCCCTAATGGTCTTATTTTCTAAACTAATTGGATTTTTTTTTTTATTTTTAAGAGGCATCTTGGGGCACCTGGGTGACTCAGTCGGTTGAGCGTCCAACTCTTGATTTCGGCTCAGGTCATGTTCTCAAGGTTGTGAGACTGAGCCGTGTATCAGGCTCCACACTCAGCACAGAGTCTCCTTGGGATTCTCTCTCTCCCTCTCCTTCTGACCCTCCCCTGCTCTCTCTCTCAACTAAATAAATAAAATCTTTAAAAAAAAAAAAGTAGAGATTCAGCCTATGTGTGAGGTGTACACAGCACATTGCAGACCGATCAGGACGGAAGCTTCAGACTGCCTCCAGGACCTTTCCAGTTATCAGAGCCCAGCTTTGGACTCCGGGCCTTGTTCCCCAAAGGAAACGGTGGACGTTAGAAGCTGGTCTGGAATTAACCAGTGCATATCCAGTGCCACAAGATCTGCTCTGACTCTGAGCTGGGGCTCCCAAGCCCCTTTTCCTCTTGGAAAGAACTTAATACAGTTTCTGAAATGCGGCTAACGCTGATGTTTTCGCTGCAGTGGCGACACCTTGTGGTCAATAAGAGGAACGCACAGGACCGTCAGCCTCCCACTTCCCTGGGCTCCAGCTGGGGAGATTTCCGCAGAGAGAAACCCCGGTCTCCCAGAGGCACTGATGTCAAATTGGCAAGATTTAACTTTCCTGTCCCCGGCCGCTCTCCACCCCCAAAACCCTGACCCTATGGCTGCCACCTTTCACTCAGGATGCTCAAGATCCTCCCTAGCTGCCGGGCACATACCCTTTGACCCTTCAAGAACCTCCTCCTCTAAAGTGCTCTAGCCCCCAGAATTACCCCTCCCTCCTTCCTTGATATCCAAATTCCTACTCTTTTAGTGCATGAAGTTCAGCTGCCTCACAAAGGATATTCAGAACTATCACACATGGGATCTCCTCTTTCCTCTTCCCAGCCTTCTGGGTTTTCATCCCAGGGTTTTCAGATGAGGATTCTAAGGGTCAGAGAGGCTGTGAGTGACTTACAGCTACAAGGTAGAAACATCAGGACTGAAATTATTTACTAATTCCAGAGTCCCTGTTCTTTTCGCTGCTGGCTTGTTTCCATTGATTACTAAGTGAAAGGAAGCAATCTCTACTGTCTTCAGATAGAGAAGGGTGGAGGAACCCTACTCTCAAATTGTCCACTGTGGACTGAAATGTTTTAAAAAAATCAGAACTGGGTTTGGTCTGACTCTGGTGCTCCGTGAGGCAGGTGGAGTCCGAAGGCTCTGAGAACGAACCCCACCCCATTCCAACCAACACCAGATGCAAGCTTGCCTTGCTTTTACCATTAACCACACTCTTGGCTGGCACTCCCGGATCTGGACTCTGACTCTGAGCAAACCTTAACCTGAAGCAGGATGAAGCTTTTCCAAAGTAAGCACGTGAGTCTCCCTTTGACCTTCTTTCATGTCCTCAGGTTTCTCCCCTTTCGAATCACTGAAAGACGAACATTTGGCTTCCAATAATTGGAAGTCTTTCCTGATGAAGGCTGGAGAGCGTGAGCAGGGCAGTCATCTGTGATGCCCCTCAGAAGGTGCCTGGGGCTGCAGGGCAAAGGCCAGCCTCTCTGGCCCCATGCACACGTTCTTCGTCGTCCCCCATCGCTGGTTTTCTTAAAGCGGTACCCCCTCCTCCCTGCAACGCATGCTCCCTACCCTCGGCTGCACAGAATACTCGCGATTCCCGGGATATTTCCCATGCCTACCCTACTCATCCTTAAGGATCTAGCTCACGCACCACATAGTTAATAACACCTAGCGTTAAGGAGTTCCATCTACCTACCAGGCATGGTCTCCATGCTTTACATGTTCTTTTATTTAATCTTCATAGGAACTCTGTGAAGTAAGTACCAGTGTTATGCCCATTTTACAGATGTAGAAACTAAGGCACAGAGAGGCTATTGCCATGGTCACGCAGCTAACAAGTGGCAAGGCCAGGGTTCAAGCCCACACCAGGCTCTTAGCCACCGTGCTATCCTGCTCCCTCAGGGGCCCCCTCCTTGGAGAAGCCTTTCACGCCCTTATGCACCCCCTGGTTTACAACAGCCCCGGTTATAAAACTAGCACAGCACTCACCATGTGATCTTCGGCCTTGGCTCTCCCTATCCACCCTTTGCTGGAAGGGCTGACCAGCCATCGTCCGTGGCAGACCTTGGTGACCATTGCTGGAGTCACCGGGTCGTGCACAGGCAGGGCCGTCAAACCCAGAGGAGAGATGCCAGGTGGTTTCCAGAAATTCCAGACACACTCGATAGCAATTTGCCAGCCAGAAATTTGTCAACAAAACTGGAAACTTGTTGAAATCCACAATATCCTTTCTAATTTACATTGGAGTGAGTGGGGTTTATTTATTACTTTTCAGAAGTTCTCGTTTGGCCCCCAGGCGAGTGAAGGACAGACCGACAAAGATCGTCCTTGTTTGACCAGAGCCCAGCCTGTCCATTCACCAGTGCGTCTCCACCCTCTGCTTCCCTCGTGGCTGCCCACCTCCTCCTCACCCACACCGAGCAGAGAGGCCGCCCGGAAGTTAGGCCAGCCGGCAGCTTTCAGACTTTGTTTGTTCTGATCGCCAGGAGCGCTGGCTATGCCAGGGGCTACTGGGGCCCAAAGATGCCACTGAGGTATCCCCCCCCCACCAGTGGGCACCAACGTAATGACAGTAAGATATTTATATAGGGTTGTTTTGTTTTGTTTTTCAGTTTGTTTCCTGACCAAAGGTCAAAGAGCAAGCTGCCCAGTACAAAGCAGGTCTCCAGGCCACCGCCACTGAACCTAACGTCTCCTTCCCTGAGACTGAGGGACCCTTACGGCACACCTGGTCGTGCAGGGGCTGTGGCCACAAACGGAGGGCAGGTTTGGGAAGGAGGGCTTCCGTGGAGCCTGAGCCGGACCAGCCTGGATGGGGCATGCCGATGGGAATTCCTGCCCTTGAGTGGAACCACAGAGCTAGGCTTGAGGCCTCGAATGTATACTTTAGGACATGATCACAGTCAAAATGAAAACCCCACCTGGGCTTTTGCACGGAGTGGCTATCCAGACATGCCTATTCAAGGAACTGAGTTGTGCGGAACAAAGATAACAGATGAAGATTTATTATGCGCTTCCACGGAGTGCTTTATGTAACTCACTTTTATTTTCCACAACAACCTGTGAGATGGGGATTATCATGAGAAGACTCAGAGATGCTGCAGGGGGGAGGAGGGCGGGGGAGGAAAAGGGGAGCCCTTCAGGGAGACCTGACTGATCAGGCCAGGATCTCCCCTGGCGGCCCTAGCATTTTGGGGTGGGGGCTTGCATTTGGGGGTGGGGGCCTGTCCTCCCCACTGACCCCATTACCTGCTGGTGTTGGCCGCTCCTGGTTCAGGGCGTCATAGCTCTTCCAACTGTAGTGAGGGGCCGGAGAGCCCTCCTTCGATTGGCAGGTCAGCTGGATGTCATTCCCAATCACGGTCTCTCCCTGGACGCCGCAGTCTGGTTTGGAGGGCGGCACTACACAGGGGAAGGACCAGAGTGAAGGCATGAATCAGGTGGCGCGTGGTGACAGCCACCTCCCACCTCGGACACACACTCATACTGCCCTGTTTGTTCTCAGGCAGAGAAATTCATAGCCTACTGGTGAGAAATAGTCCTGTAAGGTCAATCCACCGCAAAATATCTCCTCAGTGGCCCTGTCACCATCACAGAGAGGCAGCGCACACCTACATCAGGAAGCATCCTGAATGCAAGATTACAGTCCCCACCATTAGAAATGGTGGGGATACTGAGGCCCAGAGAGGAGACTGGGTGGGACTGGAACCCAGGTCTTCTGACTCCACATCCAGTGATCTCTCCACCAGCCCAGGAGAGCTCCTTCTGATGTTGGCTCATCTGTGCCATTTTAGGGAAACCTTGCAGTCCCCCAGTGTTCCCATCTGTAAGATGAGGGGAAAACGGAATTTCTGTAAAGGGTCAAAGGTAATATTTTAGATGTTGTGGGCCACGTTATAGTCTCTGTCACTGTTTCTATGGTTTCAATAACCCTTTATAAATGTAAAAACCATTCTTGGCTTGCAGGCCATGTACAAAGAGGCCCAGGCTGGATTTGGCCATGTCTGCCTGCCCCTGGGTTAGGGAAAGGCCCCTCTCTCTGAAGCCCTTCAACTCAGACTTCTTAGGAAGGTTCCCTTTGTGTTAAGCACTGCCCTTGTCCTGGGTTTTGCTGAGAAAATGCAACTGCTCGGAGTAGCTGGGTGATTGGAGAGACCCCAGGTGGTAACAGAGTTGCATGCTGGGTGAGAACGAGGTCCGAAGGGCTGGCGGTGGGGGCAGAAAGGAAGAGACAAGGAAAGGGAAGCCTACAGAAAGGAGGTTACAGAAACCAACCGGCCCCTCCCCTCACAATCCTGACGTGATCTCCCACAATTCCCAAGGATCTTAAGCTGGTGCCATTTGCTTGGCATTGCCGGAGGATGGCTCGTCCTACACCACTGGGTAGGATGGCTCATTCTACAAACCTTGTTGGGCACTTCCTGTATGTCTGAGACCGCTAGGCACTGGGATGACATAGTGAGTGAGTTCCTGTGTCCAGTGGGGGCAAAAGACAAGTAACTGGACCATGAGCGGGCAGGAGGCAAGGCTGCGGGGGCGGGGAAGGCACACTGACCCCCACAGCCTGGGCTGGGACCTGGAGGAAGAGTGAGCGTAAACAAGGCCAATAGTGGACGTGGTGGTGGTCAGAGAGAGGTGAGGGCCCTCCACACAGAGGGAACAGCGTGCAAAGGCCCTGAGGCAGGAAGAAGCATCAAGTATGCTTGAGACTTCAGGTAGTGCCCTTGGGGCTGGGAGTGGGGAGAACATGCAGTGCAGAGGGCTATTACTGAATCCCCCGTGGCAGGCCTGTCCCCTCCACCTCTTTCTTCAGACCCCTGGATGGTCTGCTTGCCCCGGTCAGTAGCGCCACCCATTGTACCATCCAGACTGCACGGATGCACAGTCACTGAGCACGCAGAGTGGCGCAGCCCCCCCCCCCCCGGAGTGGCTGGGGGACACTATCCAGGATGCACCCGGCCGCCACTTCTGGTTTTTCTCTGAGACAGGCAAGGGGTTCTTGGGTGTGTGTGCCCCACAGCTCCTTCTCTCCTGAGGGCCACCAGGTGTGGGACACGCGTGGAGAAAATAACAGTCCCTCCCCCACACCAGCCCCTGCTGCACAGTCCCTAAACCTAAGAGGCCCAAGCTTGGTTCACAAGCCACCTTTTTATAATCCTGGTCCAGGCCCCAGGGACTGAAGCAGCCTGGGCAGGAAGAGACTGCTGCCTTCGGACCACTCTGACAAGCAGCTGGCCGCCCCGTGGGCCCGGCAGACGGGTACAAGCGAAGCTGAACACTGCTTCCCCCAGAGACTGGTTCTAGGTCAGGGTTGATGAGCCAAGTTTGCCTCCTGAACTCTCCAGAGGTACAGAAACAGCCCTCTCCACGCATGAAAAGCACTCAGCCTGCTTCCCAGTTATGCCTTGACCAGGGGGCTACAACTTTCCCAGTTAGAGAGCCCGCCGGAACTATGACACCCCCAAAGAAGTGTCACATGGAGCCAGCCTCATACTTGGTGTGCATGACCATTGTCAAGCCTTTCTGTGACCAGCCTTCTCTGGGATCCGAGACAAAAAGGAGAGAGAACAGACCAAGGCAAAGGAGCATCTAGCATCTAGAGAAACATAAAAAAGCAAGCTGGACATATCTGGAGGCTAGCTTTGCCAGGAGAAATTATTAAGGCAAAGCCGTCATTCACTCTGGAGGCGGCAGTAGAGATAACAAGAGACCAGCCTTACGAAGGAGTGTGTCAGGTTTTTGTCCCTACCCCCGCAACACACACACACACCTGGGGCCCTTACCCTCAGCCCCCAGGCTGTCCTCCCACCCCAGCTCACGCTAGGCACACCCCCTCCAACTCTGTCCTGATCCTTCTCTAAGGATTCCTTCCCCAGCCCCCCACCATCACAACCAGCGAGGACCTCGACTCAGCTCTAGTCCAAACAGCCCCTCCTGCGGGGCTGTGAGGCCTGCGGGGCTCCCGGAGATCTAGGGTTCTGGGTGGGCCCTTCCTACCTCCCAGACTGAAGGCGGCTGTACCTGGGGCGTTCGGAACTGGGCACCGCGCCGCTCCAAAGCCTGCGCCTCCCGCTGCAGACGCCAGGCGGCGCCAGAGGCCGGGGAGCCGCCCGGTCCCGCCCCCGCAACCCCCCCGGAGCGCCGCGTGCGGGGGGGCCCCAGGGCCAGGTGGCTTCCCCCTGGTGACCCGCTCTGCGTGCTCCGCCCCCGTCCGAAAGCTCTCCGCTCCCTCAGTTTACTGTGAGGTCACCCAGCCCCGTGTGGGCGGCCCCGTATAATTAAAGCCCTTCTACCTAAAAATAGCCCAGTAGCAAAAGCCTTTTGGAAACAAAACTTTCTTTTAAAGATTTTTACTGGATTTCTGAACAGAGAGTACAAAATGATTTCTCTCTCTCTTTCTTTTCCTCTCTCTCTTTCTCTCTCTCTCGTTGTATAGCAAAACACTGAGTTCCATAATCTCTGATTCAACTTGTGTCTTTGCCCTCCTAGTTAGCTAGTTCCTGTCTTAAAATGAAGCTGGCTCTGGGAGGGAAGGAGGAATTGGACATTCGCACGTAAGGGGGGTCTTGCTGCCTTTCCCCCAACCAGCTTGTTGCCAAAGGAAAGTGGGAGCTACTTAAGGGAAGCCAGAAGGAGACGGAATCAGCCAGAAAAGGACCAGATCTGGAGAAGTGAGGAATGCAGCTAGGGGTCAACCAGGGCCACGGGTTTGGAGGAAGACCTACAGAATAGAAACTAAATAAAAATGTGCATTTTCTTGGTCTATAATATCTGTCCAAGGAGCTAACGCAAATAAAAATTAAGAGCTATGTACACAAAACAATTTGTTACAACATTATTCATAATGGCTTTGATTGGAACAGGCTGAATGTTCAGCCAGGGACAGGGGACTCTATCCACTCAACCAAGTGGCAGGGAGCCTAAAGGACTGTAGGTGCTAAGACAGCAGAAAGCGCTACCTGGTGAGAAATGAAAAGAGCGAAGTACCAACCCATTCGGCTACAAACTCAGTTATGGACATGAATAAGCATGTGCACAGGAGCTGGAAGTCAACGTGGACAAATATAAAACCTAGTGATACGAGTGAATGTTTTTCTTTTTTAGTTTCTCTCTCTCTCTCTTTTTTTTTTTTTTTCCTAATTAGTATTTTTAGGAGGGCAAGGCAAACACAGTTATTTGTTTGTCTGGGTTTGGACCAAGGTTGCTATAGCGGCAGGAGGGAAGAGCAGAGCTCCATTTCAACAACTAACAGCCTTCTGTGCGCTACAGATCTCGACCTGAGGGGCCCTTCAGAGAGCAGGCCCCCTGTTCTAAGGGTCCTGGGTAGACAAACACATCAGGCACCCCAGCTAGATTGGGAGCAACTAAAACACGGCTATAAAAATGCTAGAAGATGATAATGTGTGATGGCGACAGCCTCGTCCATGAGGTGAGAGGGGCTGTGAATGTTCCTAAAGGTCTAAGACCATCAAGAGCCCCCGCCGTGAAAACCCAGAGACAATGAGGCATGCACTCATGGGGCAATGGGGCTTCCATCTCCAGGACCCTAAGCAAAGACCTCCCACGTGGAAGAGCAGGTACAGAACCTCAGTTATCAATGAGTGATGTGTCCAAGATGCAGGTGCTCTGTGGACAAATGAGGGCAAATGGCATATCCAGAGCTGGCTCGGCTCTGCCCCGCCAACCTTCTGTTGGCATGGATCCAGGAAGGGCAGAGCTCAAGTTACTGCCGGGGCCAGCTAAAACATCACTGGCAAGCTTATGTCTGCTATCAACTGACAGAGAGTGTACTTTGAAAAGGTAAAGAAACCTAGAAGAATTTGGGAATCATCCTCAACTGGATCAATTACTGGCCGGGGGTGGCAGGCTTACATGGCAGAGCAGTGCAGGGCTTTGCATTTGGGCCATCCTGTTTTGACAGAAGTTTGCACACTTTCTACAGGTGTCTCGAGCCTCAGTGTTCTATTAAACGTGTTAATACCCACTTCCACAGATGGATTGCAGAGATTAAAAGAGACCATAAATGTAAAGCTCTTGGATGCCTGGCACATACCTGGTCCTCAGTAAATGGGAACTATTATGACCATGAATTTGTGGCAACTTTCCCACAGACGAAGGTCATTGCAAGTTGATGGTAGTTTTTCTCTCTATAAATAAAACCCCTCTGTTTTCAGAGCAGGAGGACACAGAGAAACGGGAAATTTGGCTACATGGATGGGTGCAGGGTTGTGAAAGAGGTCCTGTGCCTTCCTTCTACAAACCAAAAAAAAAGGGCTCTGCATCTGTCCACGGGAGGCCTGGAATTCTGTTAGAGATCCCTTGTTATTGAAGGTCATTAAATCTGAAATACTTCTTCCTAGATGAGAGGACTTAATCTTTTTAATATGTCATTCCTTTGCAAATTAACTTGTAAGTTGACCATAATTCCAATCAACTTCTATTTTTAACTAAGCAAAGTGATTTAAAAAATTCACATGGAAGAATAAATGTGTAAAAATTGACAGAATTTTTTTGGAAAAGTTTAGTAACAGAAGATATTACACAGTGCCAGATATTAAAAGCCAACTATTCAAACACTGATAGCTCTAACTAAAAAAACAAAAACAGAACAAAACTAGAGAGAGAGAGAGATATGTCTATACATATATATCAACACTGAGTATAAACATACTGTAATCAAAACCATGTAATATCAGCATAAGAATAATCAAAAGAAAAGTGAACAAAAAAAGGAGTAAGAAAGCAGCCATTCTGTGTAAGAACTTCCTGTGTGACAAAACTAGCATCCCAGTGGGATGATCAGTGTTTCTTTGGTACAGTGAATGATGCTGATGCAATTGGCTATACATGTGGAAGAAAACAAAGTTAGACTCCTAGCATCCTATTTACAAAAATAAATTCCAGGTAAAATAAAGGTCTAAGTGTAAAAAATAAGGCTTAAAGACATAAAAAAAGAACATTAAGTTCATTTTTATACTCCCAGAGGTGATGGTACATGACAAGGGACCTCAAACGCGTGATAGAAAACATCAGCATGATACAGATCGGGATTTCTCCTGTGCCTCAGAATTTCCACTACAACCTCCAGGGGAGTAAGTGTCCTCAATATTAAGGAGAAGCATGAGAAACATCCCAGCAGCCTTTCCAAGAGCGAATCCTTAGGTTATCAGTGACCGTCCTCCCACCCAAGCAAGAGAAGCCTGGAGGTTCAGCAGGAAGGAGATCTCTTTGAAGAGGACGCTTAGGAATGAGGACCCATGAGCATTTCCTCTCCTTCTCTTGGGGGAAGGGAAGGAGGTATTTCCCCCATCTCGGGTCAAGCCAGGGAGGCACCAAAAGAATCCAACATGGAGATTGGGGTTCCCTACTGTTGGGAGCTGACATCTCTCATTCCCTGGCTGAGGCTCACTGAGTGACAGGAACCTGTAAGTTCTTGAAGTGCTGATCCTGCAGCGTGAGGATGGAAGGGCTCTATAGATGCCTCTGGGTCCCTGGGGATCCCCCTGAGGACTGTGGTGCCTGCCTGTTGCCGAAAGAAGCAAGAGAAGCCGGCTGGAGCAGGCTGCAATGGCAGGGTGGGGGTGTGGGCTGATTCATGTCATGAAGGGGGTTGTGCCCAAATGGGGGGTAGTGAAGCTCATTAGTGTCTAGATTAACATTTTGATTTAGACTGCACTGAATTTTTTCCCACCTAACAAATTAACAAAATTTACAAAAATTAAAAAGATTGATAACATTCAGTACTGGTAAAGATATGGGGAAACAGGCGTGCTCATAAAATGCCATAGCAATGTAAGTTGCTTCGAGGAACGTAGTTTGTCGGTATGGATTAATATTTAATGAAGGCATCGTCTTTGACCTAGAAATCCTACTTTTAAGAATCTATCCAATAGAAATAAAAACAACAGAGTGGAAGAATATCTATATATATCAGTATTGTTCACACACAAAACTGGAAACAGCCTGAGGACATCCATCGGGATGGAACACTTGAATAAATCATAGTACATCCACGTGATGGAATGTATGCTGCTAACAGGTAGATCTATAGGTATTGATCTGGAGAAATATGCATGAAATATTACCCAAAAAAATATTGCCAAGTGATCTTTATAATATGATCTCTCTTTTTTTTTTTCCAAAGGAAAGGAAAGAAAGAAAAAGTGTGTGTGTGCATGCAGACCTGCATAGTTGAAAAGGACGTGGAGAAAAGTATGGAGGAATATTACCATTGGCTACCAGGCTGGTGGTAAGACGGAAGGAGATGGTTAATTATTCTCTCTTCGGGGCTACATTGTTTGATTGACACAATGCTTCAAAAAGCCAGGCAGCCACTTCCCGCAATTTAAAAAAATCCCACTGAGGAGTATAAATGGAAAAAATAAAGGAAAAATGATCCATCATTTTGGTTTAAAGCATTGCTACCTTCCGGGGTGGAGGCCATTCCTTATATTGGACCTAGAGGAGCCATTCATTAAAATGCATCCAGTAACTGACTCTGAGTCAGGTGCCTACTTTCTCTGGGCCTCATCTACAAAATGAAGATACTAAAGTAGATGATTGTTCAGAATCTTCCAAAACTATAAGCTCCAATAATAAGTTATCTGTATGAAAAGAATGTCATCTTGGGACGTATTTCAAAGGTAGTAGAGCCTGATCTTCGGTGTGTGGTTGGGGCCCAGGGGTGGAGAGATGCTGGTGTGAAGGGTTTCTACTGATTAGCTGAATTTATGACGGGGAAGTTCACGATCTGGCTCTCAGCACCAAAGGAAGGCCCGGTGAAAGTGCTTATTTAGGATTTAGGATTTCCCTTTTTCTTCTCCCTAATAAGTTTGCGATGAAAAGGAAGGGAGCTGGGTTATGGGGAAGAGCGCTGGATAGAGCACGGGCAGAATTTCCCAGGCTGACCCCGGGGCCACTCCAAACCAGCCTTCTCCACTGCCCTGGAACTGTGTGCCATTGGTGGGCCACTCAGAATAGTCTTCGGTTAAAAAGGGAAGAGCCACCCCCTGCCCAGGCACATGGGATGAGGGGAGGAGTCTGAGCTCCTGGTCAGGTCGGGCTGCCTCTGACTTTACCTTCCCACGAGGGCGCTTCTTCTCTGAGCACGCCTCCCTGCCCCACCTCCCTGCCACCCCAGGAAGGAGACAGAGACGCTCACCGAGGACCAAGAGCCGGACGCGTGACTTAGAGGTTCCCACCAGGTCTGACATCAGGGAGACTGAGCACTCGTACGTGCCGTTGTCGTCCATGGTCAGCCGGTCAATGGTGATGGAGGCGTCTGATTGCTCAGCATTGCTCGATACGTTGACGCGGTTCTTGTAACGGTCACCATAGATGTAGCTTTTCAACGAAAATTGCCAGGTGAGCACCCTTTCCTGGGAGGAAGAAGAAACACCACTTGGTCTTACCCCAAGTCTTGGCATGGTGCTTTCAGCCTGTGCTGAGTAGCCTCATCCACCATTTCCCAGGCCCAAAGGGCTGACTCACCAACCCCTCAGAACAAACAGCTCTAATATGTAGTGCCCATTTGTGGGTTCCTCTTATAATGTATGTGTCCTTTTAATGAAAATACTAAAAGACCAGGGCAGATAGGCAGTTCATAACACAGAAGCACAGATGGATAAAGGGCTTTCTCGGATCCCCACACCTTCACCTCTGGTAACCTCTGGCATCTCTCTTACCCATTCGATTTCAAACTGTTCTCACTCATTCAGACAACCAGAGTTTAATGAGCACCTATTACGTGCCACACATTGTGCTAGGCGGCCGCCATTGTCTTCCAAGCCCAGTTTATTTACTTGACTCTTGCCTTTGGAATTTATTTATTCACTGATCTACTCATTGTTTACCAAAAAGAACATGAGACTGGCTAAGATCACTACTTTCTAGCCAAACTGCCCAAGTACAAATCCCAATTCTGCCACTTACTAGTCATATGACCTTGAGCAAAATGTGACTCCATTTCCTTTTCTACAAAATGGAGATAAAAACAATAACACCTATTTTATACAATTTTTGTGAGGATTAAAGTATATATGCAAAACAGTTCGGGCATTGCCTGACACGGGAGGTTTGCTGTTAAGTGCTAGACATCATCGCTACTGAGCGTGATATTCAAAGATGAATAACTCATGATTTCTGCCCTCAAAGGATAAATGTTACGACACCGTATGATTAGCTACGGGGCCTCAGAATAGAGGCATTACATCTAAACTGGGAAGTCTGGGAAGGCTTCCTGGAAGAGTTCCCAGAAGACAGTGTCTTGGATCCTGAAGGACAAAGGAGAACCGGCCAGGCAAAGGGCTAGGGGGTCGGGGCGGTGCACGTTGCAGGAGGACAGATGTATTCGGCATTTTAGGCAAAGGGAGAACATTGAAGAAAGACCTAGGAGTGGGAAGCTCTGGGTCAACCCCAAGTGGTTCAGTATGAATGGAGGTGAGTGTGTGAGGGTAGGTGGAAGATGAGCATGGGCAGGTAGTAATAAGGATCATAGGTGCTCTTTACTGAGTGTGTGCTCTGTGCTGGGTACTATTCCAAGCACTTTGTGTGTATTATCTCACAACACTGCCATGATGGAGGTATTATGATTACACCCATTTTACACATGAGGAAACCAAGGCACCAAGAGGTTAAGTACCTCTCCCAAGTTTACGTGGTTAACCAAATGGCAGGGCAGGGATTTGAACCAGACATCTGGTTTCAGAGCCCAGACCCTGGCGATTCTGCGTTGCAGGACTGCAGGCACTGTGTATACGGGACTGAATTGGTTGCACTTTATCCTGAAAGCACTAGAGAGCCATGTATTTTAGGAAGTTAACTCTCAGCACAGGGTGGGAAATGAATTAGAAGGAGAAGCAAAGGCAGTTAAGAAATGAGTTGAGCAATTCAGATGAAAAGCAATGGGTCTTTGGATCAGGCTGTGGCAGTGCAGATGGGAAGGATGAAGTGAATTTGGGGAGGGTGAACAGGGTAGACCAATGGGACTGGGAGTCAGGGAGCGGCAGACCTCAAGGGGGAGGGTCTTTGGCCTGAATATTCTGGGTATACAGTGATGTCACTTCCAAGAGAAGAAACATCTAGACAGAGAATGTTTTAAGAAAAAATGATGCATTCTGTTTAATAGGTGATGTGTCTGAAGTGTCAAAGGGACACCCAGGTGGAGCTCAGTAGGAGTGGACAGGGCAGCTGAGTGCACCTGGGAATGAAGGTTTGGAAGTCAGTGACTTAGATATTAACTGAGCCATGGGCTGGAGGAGGCCACCCCAGGTAAATGAGTACGGCATGCCAAGTCCCCAGCGTACTTCATTCTGAAAGGTCGGGGAGAGCTCAGATGGATCAGAAGAAAACCCAAGATGGGACTGCCAAAGAGCCAAGGGAGGAAGATTCCGAGACGGGAAAGTGGTCGATAGTGGGAAATGCTAGTGAGAGATGAAACAAGAGGAAGCCTGAATGAGTACATTGAATCAGCAAAAGTTGCCAGTGACATCAGTGGGTTGGTTGAGGCCAAAGGCAGAGCAGGCTTGGGTAGAGAAGGGAGTGTGGAGACACAGTGCAGGTCTGATGCTGCACAGGTCCTTTGGGCAAATTAGGACAAGGTGCCCTAGTTTTTGGATCGACACAGCCTGTGCCAGGGCACGCGAGTTGGCTACTGGAGTGCAGGCTCCCTGGGCTGGGTACCCTTGTGCCGGCGTAACTGCAACTGCCCTGGGAGGGGCCGGTAACTCTCGGGAAGCTTGGCTGAGAAGGGGAGGAGCATCAGCGCCGGAGAGGAGGAGGTGTCTTGAGCTGAGGACCAGCCCATGAATGCAGATCCTTCCCAGCTCAGCTCTTTTCTGACGGGCTGGCTCTGCCTGGGGCTCTTGATGCCCCCACCGTTCTCCTAATCACAGTTTTCCCAAGGCTTCCTCCCTGGATCCCGCACCCCCGCCCCCTTGCCCGGACCTGTCACAATAATCTCCTTGAGGATACAGATTTAATCCCTTCTCCGCACCCTTGCTTACTCTCAAGGGGATTGCCTCAAATCCTTTTGGAAGTGGGGGATCCATCAGTCAACAGAAGAACTTTAGTGTTTATCTAAGCGCTCAGAAAAGTGCCTCGTGAGACCTTACAGCTGGTTGGCTGAATACATGTGATGGTGAAAGAGACAGCCTTCAGTTTCTTCAAGCTAAAGGCTGCAGCTTCCCTCTCTAGGTTTTACCCTGAGATTCTGGAAATAGATAAGACCTGTGCCCCTGGCCCATCAGGGTCCCCAGGGCAATAGACAACAGGGTGCATCAGGCAGGATTTACTCTCCTTCCCCTGGGTCCTGCTGCTCTAGGCCTTGGGCGTCCTGGGTCACCCCATCTTTCCTGTCAGGGAAAAAGGTAAATGCTTTCACTCTGGGTATTCCAGGGACCTAATGCTTACCTCTGGCAGGCACGTTTGCATTTTTGGTTTCTTTTTTTTTTTTTTTTTTTGTTATTAAGTAGGTCCACACCCAGCATGGAGCCCAACACGGGGCCTGAACTCAAGACCCTGTGATCAAGATCGGAGCCAAGATCAAGAGTCCGGGGCTTACACTGAGATACCACCTCACACCAGTTAGAATGGCAAAAATTAACAAGGCAGGAAACAACAAATGTTGGAGAGAATGTGGAGAAAGGGGGAAACCTCTTACACTGTTGGTGGGAATGCAAGTTGGTGGGAACGCAAGCCACTTTAGAAAACAGTATGGAGGTTCCTCAAAAAGTTAAAAATAGAGCTACCCTATGACCCAGGAACTGCACTACATGGTATGTACCCCAAAGACACAGATGTAGTGAAAAGAAGGGCCACATGCACCCCAATGTTCATAGCAGCAATGTCCACAATAGCCAACTGTGGAGGAAGCTGAGATGCCCTTCAACAGATGAATGGATAAAGAAGATGTGGTCCATATATACAATGGAACATTACTCAGCCATCAGAAAGGATGAATACCCACCATTTGCATCGACATGGATGGAACTGGAAGGGATTATGCTAAGCGAAATAAGTCAAGCAGAGAAAGACAATTACCATATGGTTTCACTCATATGTGGAACATAAGGAATAGCATGGAGGACATTAGGAGAAGGAAGGGAAAACTGAAGGGGGGGAAATCAGAGGGGGAGACGAACCATGAGAGACTATGGACTCTGGGAAACAACCTGAGGGTTTCAGAGGGGAGGGAGGTGGGGGATGGGGTAGCCAGGTGATGGGTGTTAAGGAGGGCACGTGTTGTAATGAGAACTGGGTGTTATACGCAAACAATGAATCATGGAACACTACATCAAAAACTAATGATGTTCTGTATGATGACTAACATAACATAAAAAATAATAATAATAAATAAATAGTCCAGTGCTTAACTGACTGAGCCACCCAGGTGCCCCCACATTTGCCTTTTAAAAGTAGACCTCACTCTGGAACTTACTGAAACACAATGGAAAAGACAACTGTTAGCTTAATGGGCTATATACTTCCCTGATGACCATATACAGGTACATGAACAAGATCTGGCATCTGTTTAGGGACCTGTTTTGTATGACCCCCAACCCTACACCCATCCTTTCTTTTTTTCTGTACTTAAACAACAACAACAACAACAACAACAACAACTAAGGTTGTAGAATTACGAAATTCCTTCCACCTTGGAACCTTAAGTAGGATGCCCTCAACTGATTTTAGTCCTTTGGGAGCCAATGTGTGTTGCTGCTTATTTAAATACAGTTCAGCTGGAGCTCCAAGAGTGGCCGGTATTTTAAAATAAGTATCTCATTTTTTTTAAATGAGGAGTAGGCACCTGAGCAGGGAACCTCGGGTGACTTTATTTAGTTCACCAGTGCCTACTCAATGGAAGAGCTGGGTTTTTATTCTTGAAGAGACTCATGGAAGGGCATGTTTCTTATAGGTTCACATACTAATTTTTTTAAAAGATTTATTTATTTGAGAGAGGAGAGAGCACACTGGGGGGGGGGGCAGAGGGAGAGGGAGAGAGGGAATCTTAAGCAGACTCCCCCCCCAATTCCCTGTGAGTGCGGAGCCCGACTAGTGGCTCATTCGATCTCATGACCCTGAGATCATGACCTGAGCCAAAACCAACTCAACAGACTAGGCACCCCTAGGTTCACATACTAATTTGTATAAAAGTGTCCTTGGTGCAGCTTATGCCAAGTAATTATGAAAACTGTTCTTGAGTATCATGTGAAGGTTACGAAGTTGGAATAGGCAAGTCATGGGTGTGAAAGCTCTCATTTAGCCACCTCATTTAATTTTTAGCTTTGTAGCTGAAGTCTCTATTTTCCTATTTTAGGACAGCTGAAGTGTCCTGACACCCTTTCTTAAACCTGAATTTATGTACGGTGGGGCCATGCGAGATATTTTTTGTGATTTTTTTGAACTTCCCCTTTTTGTATATGTAATATTAAGCAAAGGATGAAACATTGCTCTAATGGTTTAACAAAGGAGGAGAATGAAAGACCCTAATTTCTGGGTGGAGAAGTCAGTCTCCTTCAATGTGGAAAAGTAGATCAAGACTGTTATCAAAAGTTCTTCTGTGTTATTGTACCTGACTTTAGGATCCAAATTTTTTTTGGCCAAGTCATGCCTTTCCTCCTGGAATTGTAAGTGGGACAAGACTAGCACTTTTTCACACTGCGAAGTACATATTGTTACAGAGAACATACCAGAGCCTTTCTCACTGTTAAGCAAATAATGCCTCATGAATATATGATCTATGCAGAAACTCCTGCAGTTTTACCTGCTGATGCTGGCTGTCTGTTGGAGAATAAATTTTGAATGTGTTCTTCTTCCTCCCACCCCAAAAAATAAAATAAATAAAAATAAAGTAGACCTCACTCAAGCTTATGAATAGATGCTCCATTTCTAATAATTAGAGAAATGCGAATGTGATTTTAAAAAATGAGATACTTTTTTCACTTACCAAAACGGCAAATATCAAACAGTTTGGGAATACTGTGTGTTGGAGAAGTAGGTGCCCTCATATTGTTGGTGAACGTGGAGATTGGCATGACATCTAATGAGAGCAATCTGATCTTATTTATCAAAATTTTAAATTCACATACCCTATGACTCAAGTTCTATTTTTAATAATTTATCCTCCATGTATATACTTTATATACACATTTCTGCCATATATGTGTGTTATATATGTCCATAGACATTCACATAGAGATATTTACTGCAACATTATTTGTAGCAGCAAAATACAGGAAACAAATCAAATATGCATCATTGGTACATATAGTACATTCATAAAATGGAACACTTTGTGCAAATATTTAAAAAATGAGACAGATTGCCTCTAGGCCTTTTGGCTAAGATCAAGGGTAAAAAATGAGATAGGTATAAATGTACTGACATATGAAAAGAGCTTATATAATAAATGTACTGACATATGGAAAGAGCTTCATGACATGTATTAAGAGAAAAAAGCCAAGTGCAGAACAGTGTGTGTGTAGTCTATGTAAACATGCATATTCATATATGTATGTTTGTATATGTGTACAGCATGTATTGAAGGCCACCCCAAAACTCGGAAGAGTGGTTCCCTTTGGTGAGGGGAACAGGAGACTGGGAGTTCACGGTATGGGGTAGACATACTTCAAGTATTACTTCTTAATCTTTAGTCATATGCATGTGTTACTTAAGACACACACGTACACACAAATGAGCACTCAGGTTCTGCTGGGGGGAGCACAGAATGGAGGCAATTTGGTGGTCTCTGTGAAATTATCAGAGCATTTACCCTTTCTGGGAGTGTATTCGAGCAGTATACCTGTCCACACACAAAATGACATAAGTAAATGGTTATTCTTGGGAATTGGAAGATTGGGAATAAAAAAGTGCCTATAATTATGGGGCTGGTTAAATATTAACAGTGTCTCCTCACGGGGCACCTGGGTGGCTCAGTCGTTGAGCGTCTGCCTTCGGCTCGGGTCATGATCCCAGGGTCCTGGGATCGAGCCCCGCATCGGGCTCCCTGCTCAGCGGGAAGTCTGCTTCTCCCTCTCCCACTCCCCCTGCTTGTGTTCCCTCTCTCGCTGTGACTCTCTCTGTCAAATAAATAAATAAAATCTTTAAAAAAAAAAAAAACAGTGTCTCCTCACAGTGGACCCCTATGACGCTCTTAGAGAATGAGGGAGCTCTCTATTAACTGATGGAGAAAGCTCTTCAGGAACTATGTGAAGTGAAAAATGCAAGGGGCAGAACAGTGCCTGGAATGTGCTACCCTTTGTGTAAAAAGAGGGGGAAATAGGAACACACATACGTGCACACAAAACATGCTAACATTTTCTTGAATTTGCATAGAGTCAATGGAAGGATACACAAGAAATTAAATTGGTTCCCTTAGCTGAGAGTAATATTCAAAATACGTAACCAACCAGTCAGAATAGAGGCTGGTCCCAAACAACCAGAACCAGTGAAAATCGGCCTTGCCCACAGGTGGGGGGTGTGGGGGGGAGGGGCGGAGGTGGTGAGGAATAGAAGGGTCAGGGTAGACAGGAGGGGCGAGGATGGGAATAAGACTTCCCAATGTTCGCTTTCGATGATGTTTTAATTTTGGACCCGTGGGACTGTATTACCTATTTCAAAATAAAAATAAAAAATAAAATACAATGTCTTCTATATTCCCCAAAAGAACCTAGACAGAAAACAATCAACCAACCCCCAAAGCACTATTAAATAAAATCTGACCTCAAGGAGAGCTCTGTGCTAATCAAACGAAATGACTGTCTCAGATCATACAATTTAGGTAACTTGAGGCTGACGAGCAGAAGGATATTTTAGGGAAGGTCACTTTTTCAAAATAAAGGTGGCATAATATGCCCCTCGCTGGGTCCAACACTCACCACTCTCTCCCCACCCAGTCCAGCTTGGGTGCTGGTGTTTATTCTAACATTTATTGAAAGACTTGTAGTCCTTGCCCTCTAAGAGGTCATGGTCAGGTAATATGCATTCCCATGATACCCTCAGCTTTTTAAGGATCCTTACCGAGTGACTCCTTAGAAGCTTGTCCCATTGGATAATTCCATTTTGGTCGGAGGCCGATGTGTGGTAGGTGCATGGAAGGATAACGCTCTTTCCCCGGGCAGCCCGAAGAACATCCTGTGGGGTTTCCACAGAGATGGCATTGACAGTCGCCCAGACTGGAAAGAAAGAGGGAAATGGGAAGAAGTAAATGACATGGCAGAGCCACTCATTGCCCAGAGGACCTCCGAGGGAATGCCCAGTGACATTTTCCTCCTGCAACCACAACTAGACACACTACAACTGCGATCTTGGCCATGGCACACCCTCTGTTCTCCAAGACTGAAGTGAAGACGGTAGTGTGCCTTGGTCCACCCTATACCCATCCTGCAACATCACAAAGAAGTTAAATGCATTGTATGGTAGCTAAAAGCCCAGCTTTGAACCTCAGTCCCACCTCTTACAAGCTGTGTGAACTTTTCTCATCCATAAAATAAGAACACCAATACTTCCCAGAGTTGTCGGGAGAACTTAGTTAGATAATATTTATAAATACATTTTTTTTTTTTTAGTCTCTGTCTCATAGAAAGCTCTTGGTAAGTAATCCTCACCGCCTTTTTTTGTTGTGATGATAATGTAGTCATACATTTAACAAATTTTTATGGAGCACTTAAATGTGGTAAGGAGTTTTGTAAATAAGATTAAATCAAGGTAAAGAGATAGAGGGTATTCCCAGGTGAGTTTATTCTACATAAGTTTACCAGGAAAAGGTGAGAAAAGCAGTGTGGCCACACCAGTATCTCCCGTCATGTACATTCATCTTTCCACATGATGGTGACTCCTTCATCTGTGTCCCCTCCTCTTGAAAATGAGTACGCTGGGACTACAGCGTGAGGGGCGCCATATGGCTTCTCATGCTCACTTGTAAGAGGCCATAAGATTTGCTTGGTCCTCTTGAGATGCTCCCTCTGAGAACCCAGTAACATTCTGTGAGAAAGTGAAGCAGCCACATGGAAAGCCCACATGCAAGTATTTGGGACAGAGCTCCAGCTGAGGTCCCTTGGGAGAGCCAGCATCCATTCCCAGCATGTGGATGAGCATGCTCAGCTGTCTAGGAAAGCAGGGCTGAGCTGTCCTTGCAGAGCCTGCCCAGAGAGAAGATTCATGAGCAAAATATACACTGGCATTGTTTTAGGACACTAAGTTTTGGGGTGATCTGGTTTGTAGCAATAGATGGTTGAAACAGAAAGCCATGCGGATACCTGTCATGAGAACTTTCTAGGCAGAGTAAAGGTGGTCCATGTGAGGAACAGCAAGGAAACCATGCGGTGGGAGGGGAGGGAGGAGGAGAGATGAGGCAGAGAGGCGGAGAAGTCTCAGGTCACATTGGGCCTCGCAGCCCATACTTAGGACTTCTTATTTTTCTTTGGAGGAGGTGGGAAGCCCTTGGAGGGATTTAAGCTCAGGTAATATACTTGACATACATTTTTAAAGGCTCATCCTGGCTGAAGTGAGGTGCAAGGAAGGAGGAGATCGGGGAACAGAGTGGAAGCAGGGCAAGCAAACAAGAAGCTCTTCCAGTTGTAGAGGTGAGTGTTAATGGCGGCTTGGGCACAGGTCAGGGGAGTGGAGGTGGGGAGAAGTGATCCAAATTGGAGCGTATATAGGAAGTAGAGCCAATGGGATTTGACTGCAGATTAGATTTGACATATTAGAGGAAAAGAGAAGTCAAGGATAGAGAACGGGTTTGGCTGAAACAACTGGAAGGATGGAATTGTCATTTATGGAGATGAGGAAGACACAGAGGGGCAGGTTTTAGGGGGAAGATCAGGAGTTTGTTTGTGGACGTGTGAAGTTTGGGATGCTTATTAGACACTCAATAGAGGTGTTGAGGAGACAGTTCCCTGAGGAGGTCACTGAAGGCCAGAAGATGGGGAGGAAGACAGAGAAGCACACAAAGACAGGGAAGGTATTTGGGATGGAGCCCTGGGGCACTACAGCACTTAGTGGTGGAGAAAATGAGGAGAAACCAGCGAGGGAGAAGGAGAACTGGCCAGGGGGCTAGGAAAGATGTTTTCTCACCCTCGCCACTGCCCTGCTCTCTTCCTCCAGGCTAAGCCCTTCTCCTCTTCATGAAGAACATCCATCTGATGCCCAGCTAATTCCCCCGCGCGGGGCTACAAACGAATAGTTCAGGGTTGTGTTAACCTCCCTAAGGATAGACAAACTGGGAGCGTGAGGGCTTTTCACCTCCAGGAAGAAATCAAAATCTCCCAGCACCAGAGCAGTTTGCTGAGGAAGAAGTTTAGAGCGCATTCACTGTCCCAGAGGAAATGTCCACTCTCCCCGGCAGAATCAGTACTCACAAGTACTCGCCTCCTAGGACTTCTGTCTCAGGCAACTTTATTACACGCTACACCAGAGTGGCCAAATGCAGGAACCAAACTGCCCGGGCTGCCATCCTCATTCTTAACTTTTTCTAACTGTGTGACCTTGGCCACCTTAATTAACTTTTCTGTGCCTCAGTGTTCTCAACTCTAAAACGAGGATAACAAGATTACCTAACAATATTGTGAGGGTTGAATGACTTACCATATTTAGCGGGCACATCATCTAGCCTGGCATGCAAGCCAGAACCATACCAGCACTCTCTATTGTCACATCTTTCTGCTCTGCGACTCTGTTTTCTTCATCTCCACGTCCCCAGGGCTCAACAAAGTGCCTGACGTAGGAGGTGCTCAAGTAAGTGCTCTTTGACAGCAAATACGTGAGTGACAGAGAATTTAAGCTTAAAAGATGGGGAGGACTCACAACCAGAGAAACTTGTTGGAGAACCTGTCTTACAGATTGTTAGAAAATGTCCAAAAAAAAAAAAAAAAAAATCAAATAAAGGGTCAAGAGAGCCCCCAGAGCAAGATGCCTCAGAAGGAAACGAGATAAAAAAAAAAAAAAAAAAATCAAATAAAGGGTCAAGAGAGCCCCCAGAGCAAGATGCCTCAGAAGGAAACGAGATAGGTCACTTTTTTAAACGATTTTATTTATTTATTTGAGAGAGAGAGTAAGAGACAGAGATAGCGAGACAGAGCATGAGTGGGGAGGACAGGGAGAAGCGGCTCCCCGCTGAGCAGGGAGCCCGATGTGGGGCTCGATCCCAGGACCCTGGGATCATGACCTGGGCTGAAGGCAGACACATAACCGACTGAGCCACCCAGGCATCCCGAGAGAGGTCATTTAACCTCCCTAGGAGGGCGTGGTGTGGGGACCCCCGGCCCCAAGCCTTGCTGATTGCTTGTAAATAACGAAGGTTTGTTAAGAAGATAATAAACCGTCTCTTGAGAGCTAACCAGAAAGTAATACATCCAAGGAGGATAATGAAATGCTTGCGGCATACACAGCACATTATGGGAACCCTTGGGAAACTGGCAGTTAATGCCTCCACTCAGGCAAATCCATTTGCTCAGAGAAACCACATTCTTAGGGAGGAAGGGCTGGAGGCCAGAGGTGTCCCAGCCTGCCCTAGGACGAGGCTGGGGCTCTTCGTTGAGAAAGTAGGGGGCCCCTGGCTGGGGAGGGGCAGTTCACACAAGTGGGTTGGGTCGTCCTACCTCCGCTGGGGTCGGTGCAGGGCTGCGTGGCTGGAGCTCAGTTCTGGATGGATGTTTAGGAATCTGCAAATTGCAATCGATTCAATGCATTGTTCCTAAGGTCGTGGTCCTAGGCCCCCCTAGCAAGGCACTGGGAAAGTGATCAGAGGCATATTCGCGAGCCACCTCTTCCAGAAAGCGCTGGGACCATCCCAGCCCAGCTTGCAGGCTCGCAGGCTTTCCAGAGCTGCGTCTGGTGGCACTCTGCACGCGCACACAATTCTCACATCGCTGGGGTTTGGGGCAAGGGGGCCTCCTCCTCTCAGCAGAGAGTATGCCCCTTCTAGCAGGGTCTGTGTCTTGAGTTTCTCTTGTGTCTACTCTTTGACAGTTCCCACCTCAAGGTTTCTAGAGAGCTGGGTGCTGATAAGACCTTGTGGATTCGGGGGCCTGGGGCACAGGCCCTGCCCAGGAAGCAGGCAGAGGTCACTGTCAGTCAGCCGCCTAATGGAGCCTAATTAAGTGTTAAGTGCAAGGGTTAAGGAAGTAAAGTGGAGAAGTGGGGCGGGGGGGGGGGCTGTGCCACCTGAAGAAGGCTTGTAAAAGAAAGGCTTACCAAGGAGGTGGGACTTGAAATTGCCCCCAAGGGAGTCACTTCACTATGTTGAACTTGTATATGTAAGAAAATAAAGCAGAATGCACAACTGTCTATACAACAGCATCCCATTTCCACATAATCACAGAGAGAGAGCAAATTCTAGAAGCAAATATACCAAAACACAGTATTAATAACAGTTACCTCTGGATTCTGGGATCATGGATAAATTTTGGATTTCTTGTTTGTATATTTTTATTTTCCAAATGTTCTGTAGTAAACATGTGTTACTTTTGTAATCACAAAGCCATGTTACAGTTTTATAAATCAAGCTGGACTTGAGGAAGCAGAAACAGGGAGGGCAGCCTATTTTGCCAAGGAGCTCACTTAACACAGGGAAATGAAAAAGCTGAAATGAGGGGTGCCTGGGGGGCTTAGTCGTTAAGCACCTGCCTTCGGCTCAGGTCATGATCCCGGGGTCCTGGGATCGAGCCCCGCATTGGGCTCCCTGCTCAGCGGGAAGCCTGCTTCTCCCTCTCTCGCTCCCCCCTGCTTGTGTTCCTGCTCTCACTGTCTCTCTGGGTCAAATAAACAAATAAATAGAAAAAGCTGAAATGAGAGGGGCCTTGAGAAAGTTTCTTTAGTCTCCTTTGGGTTGGAAGACGGGGAGACTTAACTCAGGTTTGTAGATTATAGGGAAGGAGCTCCTAGAAAGGAAGACACTGAAAATAGAAGAGAAGCCAGATGGAGCAAGACTCCAGCCTGGGTGAGAAGAGGAGTGGGGGGAGGGCTCAGGGCAGAGTGGAGGACCAGTTTTGCTCACAGCAAGTGTAACCTGTTTCCACGTGTGCTGAGAGATAAGTCCCTAAGTGGGAGCATCTGTCTGTCACTGTGTTCTGCCCATGCCAGGTGTTTAGGGCATCCCTGACTCAACCAAGGCCGAAACGAGGAAGCAGCCCGGAGGTCACCGGGTGGCAGAGGGGAGGAAGGAGGCAGGTTCCGAGCATGACAGGTGGTCCTCCGGGCAGAGAGGGCTGCTCCAGGGACAGGGTGATCTGGGAACAGAGACGAGCTCGGCAAGCAGAGAGGAGACGGGGACAAAACCTGTGCTCTGCCAGCATGGAGTAGTTTAAGGGACAACTCTCTTTACCGACCTCCAAGTCAAGCATGTCCTCCACCAACCGTCTCAGTACTGAAATCACCACTGAAGCTGCTGCTAAAATCCAAGTGCTATCTGGGAGGGAGGGAAGGCGCACCTGAGTGACTCCCTTTCCCTTGCAGGACAAACTCATTTCCCTAATTCGTCCTTCTTATCCATCAAACCCTAGAAAGGGACTCAGAATGGGTAACTTTTGATAGAAGCATCTGCGATTAGGAAGTTGAGGCTTGGAGAGAAGCTGGAACTGCGTAGAGAAAGAGGGAAAGGAAGAAAGGCAGGATAGGAGACACTAAAAGCAAACCAGCTTGCTGCCTAGTGAGGTTCAAAAGGGTAGGTTCTCATTCATTAACACCCGTAAAGCAAATGGCTGCTGGGCACCCGTGTTGCAAGGGACGGTGCTGGACTCTGGGGAGAAAATAACAAGCAGAGACACACCCAGTCCCTGCTCTCAGAGCATTCGGTTCTTCTGGCTGAGTCAAACCGGAATGAATAATCCCAGAGAAAAAAATGTAAAACCACCATGGACACAAGTGTTACACATTCGATGATGACAGGATATAACAAAAGATTTGCAGATGGGAAGCAGTTGTCCTTAGAAAGGGCCTGTTGAGCTGACGTTGGAAGATGAGCAGGAGTGAACGATGCGAAAATTGGAGAAGAGGTGGGTAGAGAGAGAAAGCACTGTGCAGAGGTCAGGGCATGGAGAAGGTGGGGCACATTCCAGAAAGTAAAAGAAGCCAGTCTGTAGCAAGAACAAGGCTGTTCTGCGATGCAATTCTGGAATTCCAGAATTCTGTGGGTCCAGAAATGTGGGATGGGTCCAAGTCTAATTGGCCATGACACGACTTGAGGGTTTTGGTTGTGTGTGTGTGTGTGTGTGTGTGTGTGTTTCCCCTGCTATCTGCATTGATGGTTTATTTGAAACAGTTCTAAATATAAGGGTTCTTTCTTGCATCAAGTGAACGAAGACTCAAGGTGGGGGAGGAAGGGTACTTACTAGTTTGAAAGGCAGTTTATCTTTCTATAAATAGATTAGGAGAAAAGTGAAGAACCCACTGATAGCAGGAAAAAGCATCTTCTAGGGTCTAGCATGTGAATAAGAGAGGTACTCAGTTATTGTGCATTTCCATTGTTTTTCCACGGCAGAACATAGAGCGAAACTTGGGAACATGCATGCCTGAAGCCAGGTCACTCTTATGTTCCATAACTATGCTGTTTGTGGGGCTGTTGTTGCCCCAGTAGTTGGCCTTGCCCAGACAAATGGGCGTTGGTCTGTTCCTACAAATCTTTATCTCAGTCTTCATGGCAAGGAAGGCACTGCCACGTGCTCTCAGTCTCCCGCCCAAGGTTCCTGGTTTGGTTGACAACATCCCCCCAATACAACTTTTGTCATCACAGCTTGAGATGTGATGACTGGTTTCAGCCCAAGGAACCCGAGGGTGAGCATCAAAGGGACAAGTAGCCAATTTATTTGAGACAGCAGCATGATTTGTAAGTTTCTTCTGCCCATCCTAGCACTCCGTGAAGACACAGACGCCCTCACACCACAGCCGGGCCCCAGCAATATTCACTTCCGGCCCCTGATGTTGGGCCATGAGGCCCCACTTCCTGTGTCAGGCAAGTGGGCTCTGGCCTGAGGGGAGGGGGCGGGTGGTGCTGGCATCTAGGCCAACGGCCTCACAGGTCCCCCTCTCCTTCGGGCCCGTCGTCCTCCGGCCCCCAGCGCGGCAGCATCGCTGCGGGCTGGGACTCACGGTGCCTTCCCCACGCTCCGCGGCGGCCATCTTAGGAAAGAGAAGGAGAACCTGGGAATGGGCGCGAAGAGGCGACGGAAGCGGTGAGAGGTCAACTGCTGGTCGGGAAAAAGCCTTGTTTGTGGTAGCTGTCCGCATAGAAGAGTAATTTCGATTTTGAGGGTAGAGAAGAGGAATATTATAAAGGAGATAAGCAGGCAGAAGAGCCTGTATCACCAGGGACAGAGATCTAGTTGTTTTGTTTAGCATGCGGTGTAGAATCCCACAAGTCAGTGAGGTATCTGAGGATACTCGGTAGGACGGACGCCCAAGTCGGACGACAGGGAGTCTCTGAGTTGAGGAGAGAGCTCATAAAAAGAGTTGGAGAGGAAAAGAGGACCAGGAAGTTATAACTTGATTGTGGAAAGCCAAATATACATTGTGAGCCTTTGTTCCGTAACTGTGATACTTAAAAGAAAGAGAAAGAGAGAGAAAGAAAGAAAAGAAGAAGAAAAAGAAAACTATGTAGCAGGAGTTCTTACCCCCAGGTTGTTTAGGAAAACTAGGCCCCAAAGTGGATGAAAGGTTAAATGGCAATATAACAGATGCCAAAGAAGTGGTTGAGACTATAAATTCCTATTAGGAAGAAATCAGTGGGGCCCCAAGTGACCTGGGAAGGCTTTCATGGGGGAAAGGGATTCGTGGCCTTTGAAGGTTAGACAGGAAACAAGGACGGTGTGGATACTCCAGGTAGAGGTGCTGATAATATTTTTCCAAACCAAGGAGTAAAAGATGTGATCTGACAAAAATTTTTGAACTATCCAACGTATAGGAGTCAGTCTGGGAGATCAGTCAGGGTGCCGAAATACTGGGGTTTGGGGAGCACTTCAGTGGTTTCTAGAACTTAAGTATAACTTAGGAGAACCCGTCCTCATGATTTGAGTCTTTATTCTAGTGCTAGTGGGAAATCACTGAAGAGCTTTAAGTAGGGGGAGTGACGTGGTCACAATTTTATTTTAAAAGATCGTTCTGGCTCCAGCGTGGAGAACAGAGAGAAGGGGCAAAACAGTCACATAAGGCCAGTGAGAGGCTATGGAAGCCGCTGAGGGGAGGCAGTCACGTCAGCTAGGCAGCAGAGAGACAGAGAAAAGGGAACAGATTCAAAAGATGTAAGAGCTAAAATTGTCAGGGCACGGTGATGACTTGAATGTGTAGCTGAGGAAGAAGGAAGTATCGGGTGATATGGGGATCCTAAAGTATGATCTCCAAATACTTTGAAACTCCTCTCATCAAGAGGTGAAGTTCATGTCCCTTTCCTTGAGTCTGGGTTCTGTGACTCCCTGGCCAGTAGAACATGGTGGAAGCGATGCTGGGTCAGTATCTGGGCCTAGACCTTAAGGTACTGGCAGCTTCCATTTTCTTTCTCTTTAGAACTTTGCTCTTAGAATCCAGCTGCCATGCTGTGAAGATGCCCAAATTTCCTTGTGGAGAGGCCCACAGGAGAGGACCCAGAGTTAGCACCAACTTGCCAGCTAGTGAGTGCACCATCTTGGAAGTGGGTCTTCCAACTCCAGTCAAGTCACCCCAAGTGATGTTGCACGGAGCAAGGACTGTCCCCGCCAAGCCCCATACAAATTGTAGATTGGTGAGCAAAATAAATTATTTTATCATTTTCAGTTTCAGGGTAGTTTATTACATACCAGTAGAAACACTGAAACAGAGGACTGCTAGGTTTCTGGCTTTCATTCGAGGGATGGATGGGAGTCGTTTATGCTGCAGAGACCGCTGAAAAAGCCCAGGTTGGGGAAAAAGATTATGAGTTTGCTTTTCAGCTTGTGAGTTTGCAGTGCTTCTGAGCCATTTAACTTGAGAGGTCATGGGATCCCTGGGTGGCTCAGTGGGTTAAGCATCTGCCTTCAGCTCAGGTCGTGATCCCAGAGTCCTGGGAACAAGCCCTGTATTGGGCTCCTTGCTCATCGGGGTCTGCTTCTCCCTCTGCCTGCCTCTATCTCTCTCTCTGACAAATAAATAAAATCTTTTTAAAAAAAAGGTTGAGAGGTCATGTGGGCTGGACTGTTGGGTTTGTGGGTGTGTAGCTCAGGAGGGAGGTTGGGTTTGAAGACGGAAATTGTGAGTCAACTGGAAACCAGTGTCACCTAAAGATGTGAATGTGGATGTGGATCTAGAGTGAAAATAGAAGTGGGTCTTGGTGTGGGGAACTCTGACATTTCCTAGTGGGCAGAGGAGAATGAAGCTGCTTTCAGGAGGAGGAGGAGAACGAGGAGAGGGTGTATCACCCAGCCGATAGAAGTTTCAGGAAGGAGGGAGGGAGGGATTACCAGGGTAAAGTGCTGCCAGGAATACAAGAACAGGCTGAGCCAGGCACACTTTCCTCCAGGCCTCCCAGGGACCCACATCACAGTAAGCAGTATGGCTGGGTTACCCGGAAACCTGGGGATGGGACTGGGGGACAAAGGCAAGGTGAGGCTCACACCTGCGTCCACAAACCAGTTCCTCCCTGGAGCCTTGTTTCTTAAACAGTAGTCCCTAAATCAGCATCATCATCCCTTGGAAGCTTGTTAGAAATGCAGACTCTCGGGCCCTGCCCTACGGAATCAGTCTGCACATACGCTTGGGTCCCTGAGTTGAGTCACCAAATCAGGCGCGGGACAGTAACTCAGGGAAGCCGCCAGATGGCGCAAAACTGAATCGAGTCACCAGCGGAGGATCAGCCCGGGCACCAGAGGTGACTGATTACACCTACTTTCCCTCAAGTTTCCAGATCTAACTCTAAATGTAGCCTGCACATCAGAATCACCTGGGTAACGCCTCAGTTCAGGAACTTGGACACCTAGATCCCAGCAAAGACCGCCCCCCCCACACACACACACACTATGGATCAAGCATCCGTGGATTTATTGAAATATCTTTAGATGGGGGAGAAAAATATATTTTCCTATCTTGTGTATTTTGGGATGATAGATTCCTTTATTTCTCTGTGTAAAGCAGTGCCTTCCTCAGTTTTTCTAATTTAACCTTCGGAAAGGTTTCCTCTAGTTCCAGGAAGGTGGGGATTTTTTTGTTTGTGTCTTTTATCAAGTCTTCAAAGATTTTAATGACTCCAGGCAGAGTTGCTTATGGACTTTTTATTCCTCTGGTGGGTTCCTACTTTGTGCAACTACTTCCATCACATCAAGTCTCATGGAGTCTAGTGGCTGGAAAAATTCCCGGAATGGAAGAGCCTTAGTTCTGTGCACAAGTTGGGGTGTTTTCTCTAGCAGCCTTTGGGAGGGCTGATAACTCAGGGCTCATCCACAGTGACTCTGACTTGGCACCCTTCTACCAGATCCCAGCACTCAGGCTATGGATTACCAAAGTCTACGAATTCTCTGTAACTTACACTTGCCCACACTAATAATATCAACAGCAATAATAACCGGCGTTTATTGAATGCTTATTATGTGCCAGGCACTGTTCCAAGATCTTTACATTTACAAACTCATTTACTATCCATAACAACCCTGTGGGAGGCACACTGCATTTTTGCACGTTATGGGTTACCCTCTCCGTTTCACAGAGTGGGAAACTGAGGTTTCTGAAGGTTAACTAATTTGCCCCGGGGCTAAAGTCAGTGCAGGAAGAAGGCCGCCCCTCTCAATGCCTGTGAGGCAGAACAGCGAGGTGATAGGAGGGGGTGGGGACACCTGCTCGGGAAGGGTGAAGTATTCTGTCACTGACAGTGTTTAGAATTATCAGGCTGATTTTCAGTTGGTTTTAGGATTGTTTTTAGATTTTCTAATGTACTGCCTTCTATTTGGGTCCCTTCCATATGTGATATCTTCTGCCTCCCCAAAGTCTGTTGAGTCCTAGGGCCCATTGGCTCATCAGCTGGGTGTTTCTCTGCCCAGGACATCAGCAAAATCTAGGTTATTACTGTGCAGGTTCAGATGGAGAAAGGAAGAAAGGCAAAGGCCAATAGGTCCTCTGGAACCCAGCTCAAGCTCCACCTCCTTCAGGAAGCCCTCCCTCATTTCCCTGCTCCTCCCTCTGGTGTGCTTTCCTGAGATGCTGTGGGGAGGACCACCCCGTTGCTCTTAGGTTTGACCTTTGAACACCCTCATCGCTCACTTGCACAAAGCAATGGCTAACGTCTATTCTGTCCCCAGGTATTTCCATTTGGCAAATTGTCTGCGTGCCCCGAGCTGGCCACTGACCATGCCACCAACCCAATCTCCCCCTGCCCCACTGCTCCAGCCCCTTCCCCTTAGTGTCAGGTATGGAGGCTAAGGTGGTGGGCGCGTGAATCTGGACTGGGCAGTCTGGGAGGGTGGAGGGATGGGGATGGGGGCAGAAAACACACATGAGCCTGAACACAGGCCCAAAAACTGGTTCCACTGGAGAAGTTCACCCCAGGGTCACGTGCCTTCTCAAAGGAAGAGGGAAAATGTGCAGGCAATTCAGAGTTAAAGCCACTTTTCATTCTAAGCTGAGCTGGGGGAGCGTTTGTTTTAGAGTTTTTTCCCAGGTCCAAAATGCGCTGGTTGCAGCCAGACCGCAAATGCAAGGATGTGTACTGGGGGGTGGCGGGTCGGGGGAGACATCCCTGGCAAGACTTGCAGCTCCGAAGAAGAGGATCAGAGTGTCCCTGGCCTTGTCCGGGGAGGATGGTCATTTCCTTGCAGCCTCCCTCCCTGGGGACTTGAAGTACCCTGACTGTCTGGATCTGATGTCATTTCACAATCCTCGCTCCTGAGACACCTGCACCAGCTACGTGCTCAGTAGAGGTTTGGAGGAGGGAAAGAACCAACCAGCCTGAGCAGGAGGGCATCTCTGCCGCCAGTCATTTGGGTCTCGGGGGGGCT